GGGTGCATCAGGACCCTGGCCATGATGTACTAGACGGTATCAGTTCTGACCAATCAGATGTCCATTCTAAGAGGGTGGTGCCCTAGAGGGACCAGTTGTTAAGCATGTTTTACTGTCAGCCCTAGTCCAGAAGCCTGGATGCCCAATCACATCGTGTGTAGAAGTGAGGAAGGTACATTCAACTGACATCAGAATCAGAGTTGCAATGGAATGGGAGTTTTCCCCCCTTCTGAAGCTTCAGTCCAAGGCCGCACCCAAGAGTCTGGGATGCTCCAGCCCAGGGCCAGTGAACTTGTAACCAGGGGACAGCACCAAACTGAACCTGAGTGGGCCTCGGGCACTTTTGGGAGACAAGCCCCAAGTCCCTCTCAGTCTTCATCACTCACCTGCCCTCATTCTAAACTGCTGGGGCGGGGGTGCTTACTACTAGGTCAGACCACATCCTTAGGGAAACTGAGCCTTTGGAAGAACTCAGGGGAATGAGTTAGGTTGGCCAGATCTGAGACCTATTCTGTAATGCCAGTACAGGGGGCAAAGAATTCAGATAAAGGGCAGTCTAGGGCAATCAAGACAGGGACTTGTGCTTCTCATAGAATTAGGGTCACTGGCTTTATCATGAGCAAGTTATACAATCTTTCAGAGCTTCAGTGTCTTCACTGATGACCTCAAGGTAGCCATAGTACCTAGCTAGTTCCAAGAAGTTTGGTGAGGACTCAGTGAACTAGCGCTTTATTTATTTATTTTAAAAGTCACTTATTGATTTCACTTTTTAAATTTATTTTTTGATCTTACCACGCCAAAAATAATCCTGGGGGCATGTGAGATCTTAGTTCCCCAACCAGGGATCAAACCTTCACCCCTACAGTGGAAGCACGGAGTCTTAACCACTGTATTGACAGGGAAGTCCCGAACTAGTTCTTTAAAGCAGTAAGTATGGTGTCTGGCACCATTTGTGCTTGACAAATAGTAGCTCTTGGGGCCACTTAGTAGGGGACCACTGGGTCTCCACAAGGATGACATGTGTTAACATCTACAAAACTCTTGGCATAGCTCTTGCTTCAAGCACTCAATAAATCAATAAACGTTAATGACCCTCATCGTCTTCATCTGTGCCATTGCCATGCTTTCTATTATGATTATTATTACTAGCTACATCCTCTTTGGGGCTTCCCAGGTGGCACTAGTGGTAAAGAACCCACTTGCCAATGCAGGAGACATAAGAGGCGTGGGTTCAACCCCTGGGTCGGGAAGATCCCCTGGAGGAGGGCATGGCAACCCACTCCAGTATTCTTGCCTGGAGAATCCCATGGACAGAGGAGCTTGGTGGGCTGCAGTCCATAGGGTGGCAAAGAGTCAGACATGACTGAAGCGACTTAGCATGTGTGCACATCCTGTTTGTCCAGAGTTCTGTTATTCTTTTATGATTAGAGAACTCACTTGGGGACTGGGGCATGGGGTTATAAGTGACGACACCAGCTTAAATGAGCAGGCTTGCTCTGCCCTCAACCAACCAGGGTGTAATCTTGGGTAAGTGATGCTACTTCTCAGGGTCAAATTTACCCCAATTACAAAAAGAGAGGAGGTTTCTTAGGCGGAGCCCTGCACTCCCTTTTTGTTCCAAGACTGTGAGTGTTAGCCTTCCCTAAGGATGCCATGCATGTCCATCACCGGGCCAGACCCCAGGGGGATATTTATCCAATAGATGCCTACTGAATACCTTCTGTGTGTCAGGTTCTGAGGCCACCATGGTGGGCAAAACAGCCATGCTCACATGGCTTGAAGGTTATACTCAAGGTTATAACTCTCTCTTGAAGGTTTTACTCAAGACGAAAGCTCAGGGGATGATCAGAAAAAGTTTGGCTTATGATTTTGTCCAATGGACACTAAAATTTGGGGGTGCTGCAGGAGTTGAGGGGAGCTTTTACCAAAGTTCCACCCAATCTCTGATTGAGAATTTGAATTCACTCTTCAAAATCTTAGCAAAGAACTCATCTTTTTACATTTTCTTTTCCCATTCAACCCCAGGGAGGCATTTCCACAAGCAAGTAAGTTAGAAACGGAACTGTGAAAATCATTACTTAGCAAGAGACGTGTCTCTAGGGAAATAGCCCCTGGAAGAAAGCTGTGCCCTTCGCAACCCCTTAGACGATTCCTTGGGCAGGACAGAACTTCTGAGAACACCACATCAAAAGGCTTAATACTAAAAGGAATCGAGAGCTTAGCAAAAATGTATCTCAGTTTTGTTCCTCTAGATAACACACATGAAATCGTCTCTCCTCTTTTACTTCTCATTTGTTAATCCTTGGAAATTTTACTCCAAAAAGAGATTTTTTTCCCCTTCCTTCCTTCCTTCCTAACAGATCACAGGGTCCTACCACTGTCTTCCAGAAACAGTCATCCTTTAACAAAACCCCTATTTTCTCCCAGGGACCAGCACTGCGGCAGCTGATTTGCAATCTTCCGGGGCACAGGGTTGGCGCCACAGCCCCATGGTCTGAAGTTCGATTCCGGGTCTCCCGGGAAGGCAAGGCATAGGTTGAGGAAGACAGGAGTCCGATGCCTGGCACCCCTCACTGGCTTCTGTGCCAGGGCACTTACTGCACTGAGCCCCCACTGGCTGTCCAAAGTTGGGGTGCTCCCAAGGATTAAATAAGTGACTGAGCTTGCAACTTGGCTTGTAAGCTTGGATTCTGTTCCTGGGCTCCATGTTCTTCCTCCTCGAGTCATGGCAAATCCCAGATGAGTGACCCATGTGTGGGGCAGACGGGGGGTGGCGCTGGAGGAGGACTGAGGGAGTGGACTGCCTTGGGCCTGGGTCAGGACTGGTCAAGCCAGGGGTCAGCCTGAGGACAGCAGCACCAGAGGCGGGGGGAGGGGGTACTGCCACACGATAGAACACATTTGACTTGTTGGACAATTTTCCCCACGGTGGGCCCAAGCAGAAATGTGCCCCTTCCACAACCCCAATGAAATAGATCTAAGGAAACACACCCATAGCAGAGGAGCCCTGGCTTTTAAGCATATGGTAAATGTCCTTCTTAGCTCCCCTCTTGGAGCTTATTTCCGGATACCCTATTGAAACAACCTAACCTGGGGAGTGGGTTTACAAGGTATTTGGCAGGAAAACGCAGCATTATATGCAAAGTGATTTCCTGATCGTATTTTACAAATTAAAATTCACTGGCCTCTAGAAGAAATTCGGGAGAAGTTCAGTGAACGGACAAGCGAGCGAGGCCTAACAGCGCCCAGCTCTTAAGTTTTCCTGTCACGACAATGGGCAGCCGCTGTTCCTTCCCCAGTGGGTCAAGGTCACCAAGTGGCCCCGGCCAGGCGGGGCCCACATCTTGGGGAAGAATGGGGGTGTGTGTGTGTGAGGGGGCCGGGGGAGCCAGAGGAAGGCGCTCCCCACCGCGTCCTCCGTCACCCCAAGGCTTGTCCTACCGGATTTGCTTTCCGATCCACAGTTTTGAGACGAACGGCTACAGAAAGGAGCGTTTCTCTTATCTCCGCGTGGGAGCCTGTCGTGTATTACTTGAAGAGTATTTGTGAAAGTTTTCTGAGCTCTTGGAGAAATCGAGGAGGAGGAGGGAGAGAAAGAGAGCGGGGTTCTTGAAGAGCAGGGGACTTCCCAGAAGAAATGCTGGGGTGGCCAACCCGGGCAGGGGCGGGGAGCAAAGGCGAGAGCAGGCAGTGGCGCCCGCCCCCGGTTTCAGTCCTTAGGGCCTTGGCATCCTGGGCCAGGGCTGGCATTTCCCTTTGGAGGAACCTGTCGGCTCAGCCCGCCCTCAACTAGAGCCGAGAGTGAATGAAATAACCAGCGGGACAATGGAGGGGCGCGCGCGGCGCGGGACCAGCGGGAGGGAGCCTGCCCGGAGCCAGCCTCACGGAAGAAGGGACTTTCTGCCCACTCTGTGACCTGGCTTTCTCTCTGCTCTGGGCCAGGAGGCTCTCCAAAGGACCTCTCAGAACCCTGGATAGCCCCCTCCCCACACTTGCCCATCGCGGGGTGGAGGCTCTTTGTGGAGAAGGGCTGGCCAGCGTGCGGGCGGCAGCGGGGCGGGGCGCGAGCCTCAGCCTCCCGGACCCACAGCCGGCGCGTCCCGCGCCGCGAGTGCGCACTCCTGGAAGTCCTGCGCCAGGACCGGGGCTCTCGGTCCCGCCCTTGGAGAGATCGGGAGCAAAGCGAGGGCTAGACCGTCTGCCTGGGAACCCCTCGCCCCCGCCCCGCCCCAACCCGCAGCCAGGACTTGCGGGTGGCGGTCTAGACTTTGCCGAAAGGTCTCCGTCTCCGAGACCAGAGCGCACAGCAACCCGGGGGCGCAGGGGGAGCGGCGGAATTAGCGGAACGTCCAAAACCAGGTGAGGGTGGGGAAGGGATGTCAGCTAACCCCTGTGCGCTCCTATCAGCCCGCGCCCCAGTGCTGGGCTCCCGGGCAGGCGGGAGGCGCGTGTGCGTATCTGGGTGTCCTGGGGACCCTCGCCTTCCCGGGAGCCCGTGGAGAGCCCCCGCCTTTCGCCCTGGGCCCGGGGATCCCCTCCCCCAGCACAGAGATCCCCGCGCGCCCCCTGCCCACTTTGCTAAGGCGAGAAAGCGGCCGAGCCGGAGACAAAGAAACTCCAACCTCCTCCACTCTCGGCCTCTCCGCCCGCCCCAGACACTCCCCGGCGCCCTCCCTCGACCCCGGCGACGACGCGCGCGGACAGGCCGAGGAAGGGAGGCAGGGTGGGCGAGTCTGCTCCCCTACGCGGGCCAGCTGGAGACTGCCAGTGCTCCCGGCCCGGGCACTTCCCGCGGCAGCCGCGCCCCCGCCCTCCGCTGCGCAGACAGTCCCGGGCCCCCGGCACCGCCACCCGGGATCCAAATCATTCCCCACCTCTCCCGGCGAGCGACAGGGGGGGCGGCGCGCACACAAAGCGGGTGCAAGGGTGGATACAGAGTGCCGGGGTGGAAGAGATTCCGCCCGGGCTCGGCACGGGCCCCGGCGCAGCTATTTATTTACCCGATTTCTTCTTCGATCTCCGAGATGTCTGCGAAGATGAGGAAGACCACGAGCAGCGTGAGCGCAGCCAGCATCCAGCTCCGGAACTGCAGCTGCATGGTGGGTTCGCGCCCACCGGGACCCGCGCGGGCCGGCGAGAAGAGCTGGAGCTGGGGGCGCTCAGCGGCAGGCGCCCGAGCCTCGGCGCGCAGCCGGGCAGACACGCTGCGCTCCGGCCGAGTCCGGGCCAGCGGCGGCGGCGGCAGCAGACAAGGGTTGCTCCGACGCCGCGAGCCCGCCCGCTCGCTCGCTCTCAGCTCGCGTCCGCCCCTCCTCTCCACTCCCCTCCCCTCCCTTCCCCGCCCCACGCGGGGCCCCGCGCGCAGTTTGACAGCTTCGCTCCGCGCCCCTGCTCTCCTCCTCCCACTCTAGGCAACTCCAGTGTCCAGCCTCCGGCCTTTGCTTCTCCCGCCTGCCTTCTTTTCGCTCCCGAGGGCGCTGGAATGTGGCCGGAGCCAGCCACTCCCCACTTAGGGAGGCTGGGCTCGGGGGCACCGCGTGCGTCCGGGTGCCAAGCGGAGCCCCAGGGAAGAGCGCGCACCGCTCGGCGCGCCCCGCCGCCTGGCAAACGCCCTCCCTCTCTCGATCTTTGTCCAGAGCCCTCGGTTTCTCGCAAAGTTTTCCCAACCCAAAGAGCAACACCTGGGGACAGCCCCCGCCGCGCGGCGAGGAGCTGGTTTCAGCCAGGCAGATGTTTCAGCAGTTGACGAATTAGGAGGGGTGGTGGGGGAAGGGGAGGGGAGAAGACATCAGGGACAGGCCAACTTGGGCAGAGATGCTGATTACAATTTGTGGGCGAGGTGCTCGCCTCCCACTCCACCACCGCCCCCCCCCCCCGCCCGCCCCCGAGAGAAACCAGCCCCTCCAGGCGGTTCTCTTGGTCTCCATCGACAGACCCAAGGAGACTGGATCCAGAGAGGGCTCGCTGAGTTGCTTGGGCTATTGGAGCCTTGGCTAGAACCCCGACTCCTGCCCTCTTGCCAGAGTGGCTGCTCTATCCACAGTGGCAGACACAGCGCTCACCCCGCCTGGGCCCTCCGGCTGCTAGTTCTGAGCTGGGCTTCATCTTCCCAGCTCTTGACCTCTCCTGGCAAAATCAATACCCCCGGGGCGGGGCGGGCATCCTACCTTGATCTAAACATCTGCTATAAAATTTGCCTCTCAGGAGGGGTAATGCCCCCTCCCCCGCTGAATAGTTTACACTAACAGCCTAACTCAAATTAACATTTTGCATCACCCATTAGCCTGAGGTGGGAAGGGCCCCATTGAGTTTTACTGGAATTAGATAATTACCCAACTTTTCTTCTTCTTCTTGCGCTAATTGTAACAGTCCTGAAATCAGGAAACTTCCCAGAAGTGATCAGCTGGCTATGAAAGGGAGGCTACATGCAAGGGCCTCTCTGGAAAGCACTGGGGAATGAATGGGAGAGGCTGCTGCCTCGCCCACACTGAGCGAGCTCCCACAGGGGCATGGAGCAGAGGTGGCTGTGGCTGAGCCCCTTCGGAGAGCCCTGGGGTGGTACGAATTGGCCTTTTTGATTTCTCCTCCAAAGCACTGGCTGTGCTGAGTCCTTCTGACTCCTTGTGTGTAGGAGTTGTATTTGATATCATTTGGCCTGTTTTTTCTGAGATAAATGGTTCGGACATTGGAAGAGGGAGCGGACAGAATGGGAGGCAACTGTTATGCTGCTCCATGTTTCAATCACTCCCCCATTCACTCCATTCACTTGGCAATATTTATTGAACACCTACTCTGTGCCAGGTTCTGTGCTAGGGGGCTAGAGATAGTCTACAAACAGGCACATGTTTTCTGCCCTCTAGTGGTTAATAGTTCAGGAGGAAGACAGACCTGCACGTTTGTAGTAATGGAGACTACAGAGAGATGAGGGTTCAATCCCTGGGTTGGGAGGAGGGCATGGCAACCCGCTCCAGTATGCTTGCTGGAGAATCCCATGGACAGAGGAGCCTGGCAGGCTATAGTCCATGGGAGTCACAAAGAATTAGACATGACTGAAGCAACTTAGCATGCATGCACACGGGATGAGAGCTACAATACAGCTATGGTCTCTTGAATGGCTTACCACTGATAAATGGGATCACCCCTCTCCCCACAAAGCAAGAAGAAACTGGCTGGCCTTTCCTCTCTGCTTCTCTACCAACTACATTCTTACTGTGCTGAACATCATGGAGAGGTTGCCACCATCCTTAATTCATCCCAGTCAGGTAAACATCACTGCTATAAGCTCTGCTACGACAGTCTATTTCCATTTTCTATTAGGTGACCTGTGTTATCATTGTAGCCTCAGAGGCTTCCTTTTTTGGACTCACTTGAGGAATCATTATAAGTGGCCAGGAGGAGTAGAAACTTGGTGAACAGTTCCATTCCTTATAGCAGGGGTTCCCAGCCTCCAGATCTAATGCCTGATGATCTGAGGTGGAACTGATGTAATAATAATAGAAATAAAGTGCACAATAAATGTTATACACTGGAATCATCCCGAAACCATCCCCCCCCCCCCCCCCCCCCCCGCCACTGCCCTGTCCATGGAAAAATTGTCTTCCACAAAACTGGTTTCTGGTGCCAGAAAGGTTGGACACTGCTCTCCTATAGAGAAATGTTGTAGCCAGTCCCACAGAGAAACATTCCTCAAGTATATCTGCTGGGAAGTGACACTAGCTTTGTAATGGGGAGGCTGTCCTTGCACTGAGGGTCACTGAGATGGGATTTTGCTCGGAGAGTTGTAGGGAACCCTTGTGATAGTCGATCGTGGGATGCTGTCCCTAAGCACGTGGGTTTGAATCCTCACGAGCCAGCTGCTTTTACAGTGATCTGTGTACATTCACTGCTCCTTGCAGCTGCCTCTGAAAACTGAGTTTGTTCCTGGGATCTGGAAAGAGAAAGAATGATTGGGTTGGAAGTGGCAAGTCTGCTGATGCTGGGTAAACTGTGTGTGGGCACACTCTTGGCGCTACCCTCCTTTCTTTCTGAACCCTCTGTTTATACACGTTACTTTTTCCTGCCTTGGTTTGTCGGAGAAACTAGAAGGTTGCAAAGTAATAATTTCTTTAAGCTAAGTCATTGAATGTTTGGGTTAAAATATAGGAGTTTACGGGAATGGCAGCAAGTCAAAAGTCATTACCCACCAGTAACATTTTAGCTCACATTAATAGTGTCTCTTGGGCTTCCCAGGAGGCCCAGAGGTAAAGAATCCACCTGCCAATCCAGGAAATGCAGGAGACAGGGGTTTGATCCCTGGGTTGGGAAGATGCCCTGCAGTAGGAAATGGCAACCCACTCCAGTATTCTTGTCTGGAAAATCCCATGGACAGAGGAGCCTGGTGGCCTACAGTCCATGGGGTCGCAGAGGGTCAGACAGGATTGAGTGACTGAGCACTCATGCATATCAAATCTATTAGCTATTTGGCCACCTCATCAGGTCCCTAGAAATACTTAATGTGAGGAAAAGAGGAGCAGGAAGCAGAGCCCCAAAGGGGCCAGACAGAGTTATACCCAGTCATGGGGCAGCCCCTTCTCATCCCGACACTGGCTAAGGGCTTGGCTCCCCTTTCAGGGACCAGGGGTGGGACCTGGCACCCAGAGCTGAAATTCAGGGAAACCCAAAACTGCAAGTACTATTAACAGATTTAACTATATCCCACCCCCCCACCCCGCCCCCCAGCCGCAGGTATGTATGTAAACCAGAACTGCTTCTCAGGTTCTCAGAAGAATCGTCTTGGTAGTCCTTTCACATGGGGCCCCACCTTCTACACTTGAAGAATCTGAGGCTCAAAAGAGCGAACTTGCCCACGATGGTTCGCCCAGCAGAGAGGAACTTTTAATTCAGTTTGCCTCCCCTGAGCCTCAGCAACTTCTGGGATCGGATTTCCAAGGGTCCTTCCAGCACCCCGGGCATTACTAAATGGATTTGTAAGCTGGCATTGCCTTTGATTTTTGCCATACCCCCTTAGTTCTGGGATGTCAGGATAAAAGGAACAAATTTATCTTCACTCCCTGCACACTCTTCATCAGTAGAAACGCCATGATCATAAATCTCAATTTTTGTCTTTCCACATGAAAGAGTGTAGGCCTTTCAGTCAATCCAAACTTGTTTTTAAAACTCAGTAATAAATGATAATTTTCCCACTCAAAACTCTGACCTGGTACCTAACGGCTTTGAACTCTGAAAGCAGTTTAGAGTGTTAAGAATCTGCCAAGTGGTGATGATCTGACTTCTTCGTCATTTCTGAAGCAGAAGCTGTGAACAGCTATACCTGAGGCAGAGTGAGGTAGGGGTTTGTGTGTGGTGTGTGTGTGTGAAGAGCTGGAATATTATAGTGGGAACAGACTAATAGACTAGACAGAGGAGCCTGGCGGGCTGTAGTCCGCGGGTTCCCAAAGTGTTGGACACGGCTGAGTGCGCACACACAACAGCAAGACAAGTGTAGGGGCACATTTGCTTTTCATTTGTATCTTTTGTCAATGGCAACACTGTATATTCGTCAAAGGAAGGAAGGAGATGTATCCAGGCAATTGCTGTAGCTGTTTCTGGGATTATCAGCAGGAGATCTTGCAAGGGCCTTGGGAACTGCTCCCCAGGGAACTGGAGATGCTAGCAGCGAGTGGGGAAATGGTTCATTTTTGTTAGGAATTTTCTAATCCTTCAAATGGTATTAAGGACGGTTTTGTCTTACATGACTAGAGAACTCATGTATCAAAAATTTTAGCAGCTTTTAATATTGGAAGAAAATGAAATGGAACATTTAAGCTTTGGGTGACTGACTTTCAGTGTAGAAATCTGTAACTATTCAACTACTGACAAAATGTTGAAATTATATTATAAATATTTAGGGGCTAGGAATCATAAAAGTTACTTATCATAAACCATCTCTTACTTAAATTCGTGACAATGTGCTCCTGTGAAATAAGCAGATGATTTCCTAACTAGATAAAACTAAAATCCGAATCTGAAAAGATACATGCACTCCAGTGTTCCTTACAGCAGTTTACAAAAGCCAAGACATGGTAAACACCTAAATGTCCATCGACAGAGGAAAAGGAA